ACTTACTAAAGGTTCTGGGAGCATCAAATTTTCATTATGCAGGTATATTCATTTGCAATTTACTGCAACATTTGCAATTCAACTATGATATTGCAGGTTCCTTTGGCTTCACTTCACTAGTCCACTTTTGCTTATTTTAAGTACTAGTTCAAATGAAAAATACCACTTCTCAGTATTGTTTTTCCATGGATTAAAATCAAGTCATTTACATAAATAATCTCTTCTTTTCCAAAATTCTAGCCGCTAGCACAACCTTCATCACTAATCACCACAGTTGGCAATCAGTTAATGGTTGGAGACTAGAAAAGAATTGCTAGTAGACAGTTGAAACTTACTGCAACACTTGCAATTCAACTATGATATTGCAGGTTCCTTTGGCTTCACTTCACTAGTCCACTTTTTTTTTTGAGATAAAAGTGCGAAATGTATTAATAGAAGGCACCAAAAGGATGCCACTCATGTACAAAAAATTTACAAATCAATAAATATATCTATAATGAAAGCAAAATCAATAATTCTATCAAGGTTGTAACCAAGAACAATAGACCCAAAAAGATGCAGCCATTCGTCCTTGATAGCGACAAAATCTAATTCTTTACCCTCAAAAACTCCACTATTTCTTTCTTTCCAAATGATTCAAAAAATAACTAAGGGAATGATTTTATGATCAGTTCTTCTCATGCATAGGCCTTCCCAGGCAAATAGTTTCAGTTTTGTCAAAATGATCCAAAAAAATAGCTAAGGGAATGATTTTATGATCAGCTTTTTTTCCTGCATAGGCCTTCTCAGGCAACTAGTTCCTCTCTGACAGAACCGGTAGTGACCAGGATAAATTCATGATGCTTAAAACCAGAGACCAGAGAGAATGAGAAAAGGGGCACCAAAGGAGAAGGTGATTGCAACTTTCCAAATCTAATTTACAAAGTAAACATCTATTGACCACAGTGATACCTCTCTTTTGGAGGTTGTCTAGAGTTAGAATGTGTTCTTTAGCAGCTTCCCAAGCAAAGAAGGAAATTCTAGGTGGGGCCTTAGATTTCCAAATAATATTGACTGGAAATTTTCGTCTGACAGAGCTGGTGTGGTTAGCCAGTTGGAGAGTAAAGAGACTTTACAGAGAAAGCAACATGTTTACTCAGATTCCATAATAATTTGTCTTCGTTGTTATTTAATATGGTACTAGACAGAATCAGAGCCAAAGACAGGAATTCCTCCACCTCCCAGTCTTGTAAATTTTTGTTTAGGGGAAGTTCCATTCCTCAGAATATTGACAATGAGGGCGTTTTTCTCTCTGGCAATAACAAATATATTGAAAAATCTGTTATGAAACATATCCTGGCCATTCCAAATATCTTTCCAAAATCTTGTCTTCCTACTATTACCGATTAACCATCTGGAGTAATGAGATACAGTATTCCCTGCCTGCTTGATGCTCTTCCACAAGCTGTAGCCTTGCTGACTATGACCCAATAAATTGGTATTGTGTAAGTCTTCCCCATACCATTTGTGAATAATAAAGTTCCTCCATAGGCTGTTTTCTTTGTTCCAAAACCTCCAAGTTCATTTCCAAGTAA